TAGTGGAAGACTCTAGAATTCCGTAGATCTTTCCTTTGAAGACTCTAGAATGCCTTGGAAAATATCTTAGAAAGCTTTAGAATTTCCTAGAACATGTAGAGAATTCTAGAATAGGACTAAAATGTAAATATTCTAGGGACTTGTAAAGTAAATATTATTTACACTAGGCCCCTAGGAAGTAGTATAAATAGAGGGCCTCTCATTTGTAAATGATCCAACAAAGTGTAAGCATTCCACAAGCAATACAAAGCCTTCTTCCAAAACCTTGCTTTCCTTACATTCTCTTGGCGGTCTTAGTTTCAAAGAGCTTACTTGGGCTTACAAGATCTTGAAAGATTAGTGAGTAAGTTGTCAAGTGCTGCACAGAGCTTTAGTGACACTCGAAGTCCATGATACTTATCTTTCTAAGGCCTTAATATATGAATTTCCAAGATTATCACAAGTTTTAAGACAATTAATATTGATGGTATACCAATGATCAATATGATCTCACAATATTGTGTTTTCTTCTCATGAGTCTGAATCTATCATTATAATAACGATTATGTATTGTACCAATAATATTGGTGCTATCACAATTAACCAAAATTAGAAAAATAAATTTCTCAAAATAAAGTGTTTGATATGATAAAATCAATCCTTTTTTCACTAGTTGAAGCTTAATGTTTTTTTTTTACTTCAACCTCCATAGTAGAATTAGCAAATTATATAATTTTCTTTTCTAATTTCCAACAAATAGCACCAAGTTTTCTCATATGCACCAACAAAACTTTTTAAGTATAGCATAATATTTTTTCTCATAAAACAAGCCACCAAATATCGTACCAAGTAAATTTTCCTAATTTTGCTTGTACATAGTATACTTAATACACAATGTCATATAAAGTGCAATTAGTCACATGTCTCATAATTTTTATTAGGCTAGCTAACTCCTTCATTATTCGTCACACTATTTCCACTATTGAATCAAAAGGAGTTGCAAGACTCACACAACCAATAAGATTGTCTTTCACAAATTTTTCAATATTATGTGACTTGACAAGGAAATTTCATCACATGGTTTATGTTATATTTTCATTCCAAGAACAAAAGTTATCTCACCATACATTTCATGTTAAATGGCTACCCAACATGTTTTTCATAATTTATTTATACCTCTCATAGAGTCATAAGTCATCCCATTATAACCAAACTACAACATGTGATTTATTTCAAAATAAACTCATAATACTCTTTTTAGAGCATTTCTCAAAGATATAAAAAAATCACCGTTTCAGAATGATTTTTTTCATTTTATAAACCTCCACTATTTTAAGAATTTAAATATCATTTTTTCATGAAACATAGTATCACTTTATTCATGAAATATATTAGGTAAAAAGTTATTTTGCTTTACCTTTTCTCCGCTTGAATTGAGTAAGTAGAAAAATAGTTTACCCGTACATCTCTTCTCTTCTCTTCTCTTCCATCTTTTGAAGAGAGTGACGTTGAATGGAATGATGATCTCCTATCTTGATATCTGCACTGTAACAAAAACATGAATCTCCTTAAAATTGTTGGAGTAATATACCACATATACAATAAATTACAGTTGAAAATAAAATGAATAAAAAATAAATAAATTATAAATCAGGTTGAGGCACAAATATCTCACTATTTTTAAGGAGATTCAAGCCCAATGCATCATAATCTACATCGATCTAGCAGTATCACTCTTGACTTGTCCCCTCCAAGATACAACAACCCAACAACTTCATACAATTCAAGCAACTCCAAATTAGTTGAAGAGTCCAAAGCCCACATAAGAACACCTTCCTTCAACATATAATTAATCTCTTTTATATAGTGAATATAATTGAAGACTTAGAGTATTTTCTTTGTCTCAACTCTCTCTTTTACTACACTAACCTCACTACAATAAATTTCCACACTTTTCATCTTTTTTTTTAGATACCCTTCACAAAGGAAGAAACACCACTATTTATAGGTGAAAAAGTCTTTCATATAATCAATGGATAGAATGAGGGATAGTAATGTGGATAGATGAATGTGGTAGATGTTACATAAGTTACAAGAAACTAATAGTCTTACGAGTCATAAGAAACTAATGACCCTGAGAGTTATAAAAAAATAATAGATATCTTTTACTACAATTTATACTCATTAACATATGCACTCAGCGGTTAAAATAGCTTTTGTAGGTAGTTCTTTTAAGGATACTTGTACTAGATATATTACTAACTGTTTTGCTAGATATATCAATAGTATATCTATGCTTTGGAGAAATATGAATAGATTCATTCATTAATTTTATAATATTTACGATTACATAGAAAATTATGTGCAGTACAATAATAATTTAGCTACTTTCTTCTAGTAAAATATGTCTAATCAAATTTAAAATATCCCAGTTTATTTATCCAAAATTATCTTGGGAAATAGGTGGGATAGTCCAAGTTAATTTAGATAAAGTTTAACATTCATAAAATATATTTTGTAAGAATTTAGCCGTACTACTTTTTGATAGGAATCTGGGTTCTTTAGCTAGGGAATTTTGTGAGTTTGGTTGGAACCTTGTCCGTTAATCTAAATAGTTGTTCTCTTGTAGTGATTCTACTTCATATACAACAATGAGAAAATTGGGAACCCCAAATAAAGACATAACACATAAAACATGACTCTTAACATGATTTTAGCAAACTATGTACTCCAACTTTGAGTATGTATAAGTAGACACTTAAACTTGTACATAATACAAGTAGAACGCCGCATATGATACAAAATTGCCACATAGGGTGCCATGTAGGACGAATCTATCTATTTGTTCAATTTTTTGTATTCAAGTTTAAGTGTCTACTTGTGCACACCCAAAGATAAATGTCATAGTTGTCAACTGACGTCAAGTTATGAGTCATGTTTATGTATTATGCCCTGGGGATGGTTCTTGACTTGTTTTATTAAGTCACGTTGAAGTTGAAGGAATTTCCGTTATTGTCCTCCCGTTTTTCTTTATGCAATTATGAAAGTGATGGATTGATGGTACATTTCAATCTTGCTTCTTTCTTCATTTAAATCATTAATAGGTTGGCCACCTAAGGAACGGTTGCGTTTACATTAAACAACTCCACATGGTACAACAATTCAAATGGTAATGCAAGTTCAAAAAAATAATTCCTTTCCAAATAATTATTGCATATTTCGTGTAACAATAAATCAATCTTTTTTGAATTATTTTTTGAAATAGGGGGTAGTAACTTGTATTTTTAAATTTAAGGGACAAATAAAAGTGAATATATATTGCTTTGCTGACCAAGACGTTCAATCCGACTCTTACATGCATGTCGGTGGGAATTGAAGAAAGACTGCCGAAGAACTTGACTATTAAACAGGGTTGAATAAGCTTTTTATACCCCTCACAGTTATCAACCATTCAAGCTTTTATTTTTTTATCTTAAATTACGTTCTGATTTCTAATTACCGTTTGAACATGATTTGGAATCGTTTTAAAATTTCAAATTGTCTAAAAGATGGAATTTTACATTCCAAATTATTTTTAAAATGTAATGTAATATTTCATATAAGTTTATATTTTATAAAAAGATTTTACATTTTGAAAAAAATAATTTTTTTTTGTAACTGATTATATTAAAGAATAGCTAATTATTATTGTTGTTTAGTGAATCTTTAAAATTAAGAGAATTTGTAAGTTTGTAACTACAAACTTTTATTTATAAAAGGAATGCTCATTTCATAAGACTGTAAAATCGACGAAATTTAATAACTTTCATAAATTATGAAATTTTTATGTCTATAAATACAACTTAAAAATCTAAATTATATGTGTGCATAAAACTTCAAACCAATTTAATTTCAAATCATGTTGAAATAGGGCTAAAAGTACTAATGCAGGGAAACAGAAGCATGCTACCATCTCTAGAATCAAATTTTTAATAGAGATTTTCTTTAAAAAAAATTTGTTTGCATTGAGAGTGATGAGTTTTTTTTTTTTTTTTTAAATTTTCCACTCGGTGTTAGTAGCGTGCATTGAAGTGTCAACTAAATTTAGATTGTGCATTGCAGGGCTCATTCGGGACTGATAATTCCAACATGATTTTCTCTATATTCAGAGCTCTCAAACCTAAGACCTTTGATTAATGGTGGAGCAGCCCCACGACCCCACCGCTGCAGCACAACCCAAGAGTGATGAGCTATACACCCATGTTAACATAAGTTAGAATTATCACCATTCACTCATCGAGAAGTATTCATCATTCATTCACTCATCGAGAAGTATTCAGGGGGTGATGAATTCAAACTAATGGGGTAAATATATTTGGGACTATCGAATAGTTAAAGCATAAACGAAAGCTAGAATTACTAAATAGTATTCTCTTTCTCCCATATTAGTTGATCATTTTCTATTTTTCATGGTGATTAAGAAATCATAAACAAGAAGATAACTTTACTAATTCACCTCTTAATTATTATTTTTTGGGAATTTTAGAAATAAATGTGAATACTTTTAGAAAGAATTAATTGCAAGGGTAATATAGAAAAAATATTTAATGCTTTCTTGATTTATTAAGGTGATGAACTAATGTCAGACAACTACTCCCTCCACCCAACAATATTTATCCATTATATTATTTTTGAATTTCCAATAATACTTGTCCACTTTATGAAATCAATGGATAATATTTACACTTAGGTCCTAAATTATCCTTATCATTAATTATAGTCATATTTCTGTTTTATTTGTCAAGACATTGTATTTATCATATTCAAAGATAATATAGTAAAATTATCATCTTATTTATAATTTCTAAAAAAATATGCAAAATCAACTGTGAACAAATATTATTAAACAGAGAAAATATTTTTAATATAGTAATCAACTAATATGAAACAGAGAGTATTACTCAGTCTCATGAAGGTAACAAAAGAATAAGGATACCGAATGGTTTTATAATTTTTTTTAAAAAAAAGAGTAGATAAATAATTGGGAGAATCGTCCTCAAAAAAACAAGAAGAGTTGGTAGCAGAGGGGAAAGGAAAGAGAGAATTTAATAAATTCACGGGCATTTTCTCTTTGTTAGTAACTTGCACAGAGAAGCAGTGTAGGTGTCTGTGTGTGATCCAACGCCCTTCACCTCTTTTTCTTCAACTACCACATTTAAATCCCTCTTCCCCCTTTTCCTAATTCAACTTCATCCATATACAGGGAGGGAGCTTGGAATCTTTGTTTATTGATTATTGAGTGTGGGATCTGGATTATAAGTTCCTTTTTTTCTTCATTTCCACTTTGATAGACAAGTTGAAGAATCAAGTCTTAACCCCATAACATTTGGATCAAAATTCCTTTGTCTACTTGCAACTTGTATTCTTTAATATATGGACAATGCCTCTAATCTGAATACTCCATTTGTCTAGTCATACACCCACCCCAACTACTGAAAATTTAATTTGGATATATATGCCTCCAGACAGTCTGAGATCAGCTGTGTACAGATCCTTTGTCACTTGTGATGATCCCAAAGGTGTTGTGGAATGTACGACAATCAGAAAATCACAAATGGAAAAAAATGTGTATTGTTCATCAGACAAGGAAAAAGGAAGAGAAACAGTCAGCAAAGATAATCACACATCTTCGTTCCAGCTAATGGAGGTGTCCAGAGAAGCTCAAAATCTGAACCAAGTGATCCACTCATGGTCTAACGGTATGACCATAGAAAGACATTCGAATGATATCATCGCTAAAGATTTGTTGAAAGGAGCCCTTGATTTACAGGAATCACTTGTGATGCTAGGGAAGCTGCAACAAGCTTCACAACATATGGCAAAGTTGAAGAAGAAGAAGCAGAAAGATAAGCCTCAACTTGATGGAATACCCATTCAAAGAACCAAGTCTGAAAGGATTTCAGAACACAGGCTTGAGTTTCAAAAACCAAGATTTTCTGTTGATGGGGATTGTTTTGATGAGCTTAGGGAAGTCATAAGAGATAACTTTGCTAGACAAAATCTGTTGCAACCAAATTGTGCTGCACAAAAGTCTCGGTTTCAAACAAGTGAAAAGGCGTCTGTTGATACAAGGAAAATGATTATATCATCACATGTCCCATCCACTAGTTCAAGCCAGTCCTCCATTGTTCAATCCCAACAAGTGACCGCTTTTGATTATTCCCTGCCGCAGGAGAAGCCAGACGGGCCAAATTTAATTGCCAGACTGATGGGTCTTGAAGAAATTCCTAGAAAGCCCCAGCACCAAACTACCCAGAAGCACTATGAGAAGGACAGGGTTGTCAAGCAGACCAGACCTATATTTGAAATAGATTTGCCAAAAGCAAAGAAGCCAACATTCATCAGTCAAAAGGTGGATCCAAAAAGAAAAACATTGGATGAAATAATTGAAACCATGCATTTTAAGGGGCTTTTGAGAAGCAAGTCTACACATAAATCTAATAGTGTTTCAGGTTTGCTAAATAAGTTTGTTGATTCTCCACCCATTGTGATCATGAAGCCTCTATATTCACAGAGTGAAATGTTTCCTGCCTGTAACCATGAACAAAATCCATCAGGCTCTAGAAACAAATGGGAAGAAAGTTCATCTGATGACCAGAAGGGAGCATCGAATTTCACCATATATAGGAAAATGCAGACAGGAAAAGATCATAATAATAGATACAGCAAAGAAAAAGGGCGAGAGGATCATGGTGAAGCACCTTCAAAATCAAAGACTCTTCAAGTTTTGATTCAGCCTAAAACAAAGATTATAGCTTCTTCTCCTGGAAAGTATCGTGGTGAAGCAACTGCAAAATCAAAGACTTTTGATGTTCTGAGTCAAGAAAAACAGCCTAATACAAAGATTAGAGCTTCTTCTCTGGGCAAGGATCTTGGTGAAGCACCTTCAAACTCAAAGATGCTTAGAGTTCTTCTGCAAGAAAAACATCCTAATGCAAAGATCAAAGCTTCTTCTCCTGGCAAGTATAGTGGTGAAGCAACTGCAAATTCAAAGACTGTTAAAGTTTTCATTCAGGAAAAACAGCCTAATACAAGGACTAGAGCTTCTTCTCCTGGAAAGACCGGGAAACCAAAGAAAGAAGCAATTGGAAAAACAGAGGACGGGACTCAACGAGTAGCTCCTGCTATCAGAAACTCTAAAGAAATGAAAAATGCCAAAATAGACGACAGTGCTAAATTTCAGGACCAAAGCAAGATGAGCACTGTGAAAGTGAGAAAACCAGAGAGAAAACCATTGGTTGCACAAGCAAAAAGTACTATATATGATCCTCAGCATATCACAACCACTGCATCTCATAACTCCATTAAGAGGAAGAAGAATGTTAAAGCTGACAAGTCCATCAAGAGTACCCCCATTGCTACAGTGAGTACATAGTTATAACTTATATTTTTGAGTTTCAACCATCTTTCTTCTGGAAGCTATGTTTCTCGTCTCTGTGTTATTATTTATTGTACAAGTTCCCTTTTTTAACACATATTTAGGGGACACTATTCTGTAGATGTTGGTCCTCATGTGGAATTAACAATGGAGGATTTCTTTGGTATTGTCCCAGACTAATGGAATATATTGATACAGGTTGACAACATAGAACAGAAGGATGAAAGTATAGAAATGGTGCAGGCAGTAGATAAAGACACAGATATAGCCATATCCGAAGTTACATTCTCAGAAGAGCTTCAGTTAGAAAAAGGGGATAATATCTTTGAGGATCTTGTCACCGGTAGCACTTACTTCATTATTTTGCCAGTTTTATGCATACGTTCTGGTAACTTTAGAAACATTTTTTCAATTATTCATCATACAGAGACTTGTCGAGTAACTATAACGTTGAGTGTTGCAATGTGGTTAGATATATATGCTAGACATTGTTCAACAAACAAGAATGATATTATCTCCATATCTAAGAGACCAAATATGAATAGTATTTATATTCTTCTTTTGCAGCTTAGAATATTTTCTTTCTTCTTAACTTGGGAATAATGATATATATGATGATAATATAGTAGTTTAGTCGACAGCACAGCAGCTTTATATAACCAAAACATTAAATGAAAGATCTGGCGGACTCAAAAGCTTCCATAAAATCTTTAAGTATACGTGCAATTGACAATGAAGATGTTCTGATATTCTTGAGAAGCTATAAGAAGTTGTTTTCTAGTAAGACTTGTGAATATTTATATCTTGACAACTCAATTACTGTCTTTCTGTGTGGAAGTTCCAAATCTGTAATGATACAATCTACTAGCTAGACTTTTATAGAACAAGTGTTGAAGTAACCTGCTAGAAGTAATTGAAGTGTTCTAACGCACTTCAACCTTTTAAAGCCACACACGGAGTGTTATAATAATTGTACTTCCCTGCCTCTTTCTTCTTCCATACCTTAAGAACCACGATAGAAGATGTTACACATGGAAGTAGCTACTTATAGTCATCACTCAAGCTTCAATAGCCCTTTAGTTATCTTATAGGAAATAAATTCTGCACACAACTTGTGGTTGATCCAAGAAGATTAATCAGTTGTCATTGTGAAAATATTCTAAAATATTACTTCTTCAATTGCAGATAATGCTGTCAATGGTGAAAGTGTCCCTTGTGAATCTAGCGTTCTATCAACCTATTGTCTCGGTGACATCAAATTAGTGGAGCAGATTAACTGTAACATCAATCTAGACTTCACTGAGAATGAAAACTTAGACTCCGGAGCCACTACAAGGCATTTACTGTTGAGCAGTGAATCGTTCCTCTGTCAGTGGGAGGAGCTTTTTGAAACAGATGTGTGGGAACCAACTGTATGGCAGACAACTAGTGTAGATCATGAAATTGCTGATAGATCACTCTTACTTGATTGTGCTAATGAGTTATTAGAAAATAAAAGGTCCCAATGTGCACTGGCAGTTAATCCGTTATCACTGAAGGCCATTAAGATGAGAAAATATTATGTATCCTTTGACAAGTTGATGAATGAAATTTGTGATGGGATTGAAGTTCTGCGATGTTACAATAAGGTGGCTGGCAAGAACCTTTCAGCTGATGCTCTTTATCCACTGCTAGAAAGAGATCTATGGTGCAAGGGGGTGGTCGGCAGTGCATGGGATCTGGCTTGGAGAACTGGATTAACTAACAATGAAGTTGAACAAGTGGTAACTGACATTGAGAAGTATCTTTTAGCTGCATTTATCGATGATTTGTTGACCGACTTCATGCTATAGCACTAGTACATATTCAGGTGGGCGATTTAGGAACTTGACTTATATAATCTGTAAAGTTGGAGAAACTTTAAAGTTGTCTCCGTGTGACCTATTGGTCATGGGTTCGAGCTGTGGAAGCAGTCACTGTAGGTCTACATCACACCCCTTGGGGTGCGGCCGTCCCTGGACCCTGCTAAGGCAGAATGCTTTGTGCACTGGACTGCCATGCCCCACTTATATAATTTGTAAATAAGAATCCAATAGAGGAGTTGAAAAAAGGTTTTAAGAAGCTGAGGAGTAGAAGTTACTAGCTCAAATTACGTTTTAATGCTGAGTTGATCTTAAATTTGTACATTTCTTGCTGATATAGTTATGTAAATGTATTGAATCTAGATATGATTTGTTCTATTACAATTTCGAAGCTTGATCAGCTTTGTAGAGTTTGTCAAAGCAACCAAAAGAAGCACTTGGATCACAAACTTGATGAGAAACCATGTTTCTGCAATAAAATAATTGAATTACACTTTATTTAGAAGGTTGCAATATATGTTTTAGTTTATATAACTTTGTAGAAAAAAATTCTATTACGGGCGAGGCATACCAAGTCATACTTGTATGAGACATTATTTGATTGACAAATGGACAACTATGAGACCCGCATCCCAAGTTGTCAAAGACCCATTGTTCTTTTTCATACTAAAATTAATTCCCCTCCACCCCCTCCTCTTTATCTTCTTCCTTGTTTAATTCAACCACTATTAGTTTTCTTTTTTTCTTGGGAAAATGACGCTTTTAGTCCTTGAGTTATCGCGTTATTTCTCTTTTAATCTCTGTGATATCTGACTAAGCACTTTTCGCCTTCAATTAAGAGATGACAAGCAATTATCTGTCATGATAAGCCTCAAACATATATGCAATTGAATACCCTATTTCTAGGAATGCTTCGTATTTATAAAATCTAATAAGGAGACTTTTCATGAAGTCGTTCATTTTCTGAATAGGCACAACCTTTAGTTGCTCTCTTTCTGAATATACAATACTTTTTGTTGCTTCCCTATCTTAAACCGACAAAACTTTTTGTTTGCTCCTTTTATGATGAGACAACACTTTTTGTTTAATTTAAAATTTAAATATTAAATAAACAATTTTTTTCAAAAATAAATTACAAAAGATAAATCTTTTAATTTAATTTAAGATCCGACCTGAGCAAAATAAATAAATATACGACTCAATTAAATATAACAAATTCAAGTCCAATCATTTATATATATAAGTAGACTTATTCAATTAAATAGACTAAATAAGTTAGGCCTTAAAAGGACCTAAAAAATGGCTTTTTCCACCAATGTGAAAACTTTTTCTTTATATATACACCATTGTTTTCTTCTAGACAAGATTTCGTATTTCTGTTCTCATTCCTAAGATCACCATTTGTTTAATCATCAACATTACAAATAGGCCACAGAACATCCTGATCCCCTTCATTTCTCATCCTTGATCAATCTCTTTAACCCCTAATAAACTACTTTGTTTGAACTATTTCCTTGAACTCTAGAAATTACCTTGAACATTTGATAATTATCTTCGATAGCTATGACATATTAATTTCTTTAATTTAGCTAGCATATGGTCACAAATTTCCAAGTATTTTTGGTAACTCAGTTTTGGGTGAAGTTTTGTCATCCGTTTGATTATATAGACTAGTAAATGGATCCGCGCTTCGCGCGGTTAGAACATTCTTTTTTTTTTTTTTTTAGAATAGAACTTTTCTTGTATTTTGATGTTATAGTATTTTTATATAAATCTGTTTTTAAGAGTATAGAGGTTATTCAATTGTAGTTTACCATTTGTTTTATTAAAAGAAAAGGCAAAATTACAAATCATAACACTATTTTAATTTCTCCTAGTTTACATAATTTCATTTTACAGATTCATTAATTTGCTTTTGAAATTTTACAATGGTTAGTTTATTTTTATCATCTATATGCATGGTTAGATAATGTCTTTAATTAGAGAATCAAATAAATATTTTTCTCAATTTTCTTCTTTGCAAATTTCGTTAGTATAACACTATCAATTACTTTCAAAATATTAAATATTTTTAAAAATATATATGTATAACCAATGTGTTTATCAAGAGCAAAGGTTCCATAATCATATGATATACCAATAAGTAATATGTAGTCATTATGTGTTTTAAAATTAAAAATGCAATCTTCCAAAATCCAAATTTCGTATGTAATATAGTTATGATAGTGTTTTGAAATTGAAGTTGTGCACAAACAAAACATTATGGATCCTTGAAAAGGATGAAAGAGAAATAAGGGAAAATGGGAAAAAGTTCAAAAAAGTACTTTTGTGTGAGAGATTAGTCATCATTGTGTATCATATAATTAGAATTAATTGCTAGTTTTAATTCTATCATTTGACTTTCTATTTTTTTAACTCCTGTTAATATTAACATTATTATGACAACAACAAAAATCATATAAATTTTTAGGCTTGATCTCATGGAGAAGAAAAGATTTCTTTGGAGATTGTTGTAAATAAATGTATTATGTAAAAAGTTATTTGTGAATCTGCAGTAGTTGGATTTACATAGAGTCTGTACTAACACATACTTATAACAATATCTTTACAGAAACATAAACAACAAAGTTTAAAACATGTACTCAAAAACAACAATTAATATCATAAGCATAAATTATGACTGTAAAAAAAAATACCAGGATCTGTAACAATATAATGAAACAGAAAGAAAAAATAAAGTCCACTGAATGCACAGTGTCTCCTTAAGAAAATCACTCCCCTCTGGTACTCGAGGTTTATAGAAACTGATCCTCTCAGGATGAAACTATTTTATTCACCAGTGTATTGATACAAAAAACAATAGTCTCAGCGAGCCACTGAACAGGAGCAAAGTACACAAATATTTAATTGAGAAGAAGAAGAAGAGGAGGAGGAGGAGGAAGAGGAAGAGGAAAGAGGAAGAAGAAGAGGAAGAAGAGCAAGAAGAGGAAGAGGAGGAGGAAGAGGAAGAGGAAGAAGAGGAAGCAGAGGAAGAGGAGGAGGAAGAGGAAGAGGAAGAGGAAGAGGAAGAAGAGGAAGAAGAGGAAGAAGAAGAAGAGGAGGACGATGAGGAGGAGGAGGAGGAGGAGGACGAGGAAGAGGAGGAGGAAGAGGAAGAGGAAGAAGAGGAAGAAGAGGAAGAGGAGGAGGAAGAGGAGGAGGAAGAAGAGGAGGAGGAGGAGGAGAAGAAGAAGTCACGACCCAAAGGTACCCCTGGAAGTAATAAGGCACATAGAACTCCGAAAGGCACCATGTAAGCCACTTAGCATCATAACATAAAGCATTAGAACAATAAGAGTAAAAGCGCACTTAAGTCCAAAAAATCTTTATAAAGGAAAACAGAAGTTTAGACTTGTCTCAATTAGCCATCTATTACAATAGTTCAAATGAAAAGGGACATAGCCCATACAACATTGTTTGGAAATGAAATACTAGAAATGAAACTCAAAGTGAATCTCCCGTCCTCGAATCATGAGTACTCACCACAAGCAAGGAGAATAGTCGAATACAAGCTTGAACCAAATGATAGCCGACTCAAGAACCGGACCCTACACTTGGGAAAAATATAGGAAAATATGAGTTAGTACAAAAATGCACCAAGTATGATAGCCATGCATAAAATCATGAAAACATGCTAAAAGGGACATTTTAGTTGAATGCATGCCATTTACTAAAATTTTTGTTCATATTAATGTGCTAGTGGGAATAAGTCTTAACCAACATAGACCATGTGAGCTAACATGGAATCCGGTGTCTACCCCACACCGAAAAGGGGTTATTCTACTTGCCTAAGGTAGAACCATACTCTTAGCTTAGGTGGATCCACTAGCTAACGACCTATGTGGGCACATAATTATGGGATAAGGATATTGTTACTAGAAACCCGGACTCAACTAAGGTATAAGGTTTCCATCTCATGAGATACATACCTTGTGAACCCAGACTCAACTAAGGTAGAAGGAACCCATTTGGGAAGCCAGACTCAACTATCGTATAAGCTTCCATCTCATATTCATATCCTCTCGGTGCTAGGCATTAATTCCCATAGATTATATATTAAGTCTTGACTTAAGTTCATAATCATGGAATAATTTCTTGACACTCAATCCAACATAATTCATACTATAGCTCATAGATTCAATAGGTGAGACTAGTCTTCCAACCTTAAAATCACTACATGTGACAAACCTTTCACATCATATCATATTCATACATAAGTGTGTAAATGAGAATATCTTCCAACAACACAACAATTAGATCATAATCATATTCACTTTACTCTCAAAGTGTTCATAAAGCATATACCTTAATCTTATATTCATTCATAATTCTCATACTTTGCCCTTCAAGGACCATAAATCACAATCCATCAACACATCTAGAATTACTACATTAGACATGGATGATAACATTATTCAAGTAATTCAGTTACTAGATGCATAATTCTATCATATTCTACTTGCATCAATCAATACCCACACTTTGAGATCCAAATTGGGAAAATAGGAGAATTTATGGATTCTTGGGGAATTCAAGATAAAACCATATAAAATCATCAATATATCCATAATAAAACATAATTCAGTAATTAAAAAACGAATTTTAAAGGAATCCATGAGATTGAAGTCAAACCTAACTTTTGGGATTCTAGCTTTGAAATTGGGGTTTTTTTGAAGGGGCTCCATGGATGAAAACTATCCATGGATGAAGATCTACCATACCTTGGTGATGAATCCCCATGAAATTGAGTGAAAAAGACTTCTTCTTCAAACCCTAGCTTGACTTTCTTCTTCTTCTTCTTCTTCTTCTTCCTTGGAGTTCTAGAGAGAGAGTTTTGGGGGAAAATGGGTTTTGATTTGGGAGATTTAGAATCACGAGGAAGATAACTTGATTTGGGGGCCTTAAAACTATATATAGTTAGTCTAAATTAATACAAAATGACGTCACTTAATATTAACTTAAAAAGGAAAACCCTATAATGCCCCTAACTAAAACAGCCTTTTGGCAGTTACATGCCTCACCCACGACACATGACCACGGTCTATGGGTGGACTCACATGGCATGCTGTCCATCCGTGGACTGGGGTTCTGGGGCCTGTTTTGCAGGATCGACCCATGACCCCTCACTGACGGACCGTGGTTGGACCCGCGACCCGTTTTGTTGAGGCGTGGTCTAGGTTTAGAGACTGGCCTCTCAGGGTCTTGACCTATGCCCCTCACCCACGAGGTGTGGGTGCCCTTCGTGGGACACTGCCCAGGCAGCCTCTAATGGTCTTCCTCAAGGACCCATGTTTGGTCCTTGGGGTTTGAACCTTGACGTTCCTAACACGAAAACAATTGTTTTAAGGTACATGGAGGTACATTCAAGG